CCAATTGTTAGATGTTTCTAGGGATCGATAACCGTAGGACTGAACCTTGTTAGAAAAGGGTTAGGTTCCCAATTTTTATGAATCGATTAAGGATTTTAGGTCCCAAATGAGGAATTGGGAGTATATATCATGATCGTGAATTTACCTTGGAAGTTGTAGGGATAACCTCAGTGTCAGTAGAATTCCCCAAAAGGACGGTTAATCCCCGATTAAGGTTATCATAATAATTGTTGGTAACTTGGATATTGTGGTGTTGTGGTGAATTGTACAAACTCGATGCGTTAGGTACTGAAATGCGCGTTTTGGCGGACGTTTCCCGCGTTTGGACTGCTGTTCTGAGCTGCTGCAGGTTCAGGAAAATCCTGTACGCGCTCAGCAACACGGGCCGTGTTGCACAACACGGGTGCCCGTGTTGCTCTTCTGTGTTGGAAGAGGGAGTGCCTCTGGTTGCACGACACGGGCCGTGTTGCACAACACGGGTACCCGTGTCAGATCCCCTGTACTGATAAAAATAAAATGTGCGTTTTTCTGGACGTGCTGCACAACACGGGCCGTGTTGCACAACACGGGTGCCCGTGTTGCTCTGCTGTGATGATTTTCTGAATTTTTGGTTTCAGTGTTTTGATGTTGGATTTTTATTGCCATGCTTTTAGATATGTTATCGAGCATGAATTATGATATAATTGATGTGATTGGTTGATGTTTGAATAGTATGCTGAGTGATTACATGCTATTTGTAACTTGATATGATTGATGTTTAAATAGTATGCTGAGTGGTTACATGCTATTCATATCATGTTATGTTTGATATTGTTGAATGTGCATGATATGTTGATCGATGTTCATAGTATGCGGAGTGTTACATACTTACATATCATGTTGCATTTGTTAATTCCCATTGTGTGGAATTAACATGGTGGCCAATATACGTGTCCGCGATTTAATGGAACGTTGAGGTGGTAGCCGTGTCCGCGATATAATGGAACGGTGAGTTATCCGTGACCCGCGATTTAATGGGGCGGTGAAGTGGTACCACATGCATGGGTGTGTTGCATTACTCGAATATAACATGAATGGATGATTTTTCCAATGTTATATTTGATTGTTTGTATGCACGTATGATTTGATAAATGGTTGATGATGTTTGATGATTACTTGCAAATATGAAAAGTAATATGTTATGGATATATAAATTGTGAAGGTTTTTGTAAACTATGAAATATGCTAATTATTGGGTGATGCTTATGATTTCATGAATTAATTGTTATGAACGTATAACCAAATGTATATTTGAGAAGCTCACCCTTACTGTTGAATATTTCAGATTGAGGAGCTTCGCTCAGGTGCTTGGCGAAGGCTTATCGTGTCTAGTTTAGTTTCGTTTTAGTATGTCCGGGTCATGCTCTGATAGTTGTAACTCCGGGAACGTTTGGTTGTCGAGCTGCTTTAGTCAGACTCGTTTATTTTCTTTTAATTGTTATAATATGACGTTGACTTTTCCAGGTGTTAATCCCTGATGATTTTGGAAAATATTATAACATCTGATTTTATTAAATAAATTATTCCGCTGTGTAGACATGTATGAGTTACCACTAAAATTATGCATGACAGGAATTTATTTTTTTAAAAGAGAATTGTAGCATTCCTCGATTATTACATGTACTCTGAGTTTATAATTTTAATATTTGCGAAAATTATATGCGGGTTTTAGAGGGTGTTACATCGTTCCTCTGGATGATTGCTTCGAGGGTGGCCTCAGTTTCAGGGTGACGACAAGACGCTGTGAAGCTGCTGGCAAATTGGCTCTTCAGACTTTTCCAAGAGGTGATCGACTCGGGGGGAGGATTTTATACCAGCCCATGGTTATTTTCCTCAATGTCGTGGGAAACAACTTGCACTTGATAGGATCCCCGACGTTATGATAATGAAGCATCGCTTCGAAGTTGTCGAGGTGGTCAATGGGGTCTGTAACGCCATCATAACTGTTCAAAGGGGGAGGTTTCTCCATTCCCTTAGGAATAGGGGCCTCTATAATGGTCTGGAAAAGTGGACCACGGGGATCGTCTTTGTCGCTTCGTTCTGAAGACCTAGAGGGGGAACGATGTAGCAGGGCTCTTTGTGGCGAGGAGGATTTCTTGGTCGGGTCTTCCTCTCTTCATTGCCCATGTTCCTTTTAGGATAAGGGGACCGTCGTTCCTTGTGTGAGGGAGTGTGGCTGCTCTTTCTGACGGCTTCGGGCTAGGTCCTCTCCAATGCAGGGCCTCGCCTAGTGCGGTGGGGAGAGGGGCTTCGAGAATCGTCCCATCGGTGTCTCCACGAAGGAGACTGGGAGCGGTCCTCACGTCGTCGGGGTGAAGGGGTCCGTGATTCCGGTCTTCTGTGTTTTTTGGGGGACCGACGGGTCCTTTCCAACATTCCAAGGCGTTCGCCCTGCACGAAGATCATATAGTTGATTTGGTTGATCGCCGCGAATAGGGCCTTGGTCGTAGGGTTAGTATTCTCAGGTACGGGGATCTTCTGATATACCGCGGGCTCGTAGTTTTTTTAGGGAGGGTTGGCGTTATCGTGCGGTTGCAAGCGGGCGGAAAAAGACGTGGCCATCCCGTCCTCGATGTCGAGCTCGTGACTGTCTGCATCGTTGTTATTGTCAGCGTCGGCGAATGGAGCATTTTGATCATTGTTGTTGACTTCGTCTGACGATCGAAAGGTTGACAATTGCTTTAGTCTTAAGCAGAGAAAAAACAGGGAAATATTTTTCTCACAAACGGCGCCACTAATCGTACCTGATCAGAAGAAATCGTCACTGGCCCACAAGCTTGAGTTGAACGACAGTTGTTGAGAGTGAAATAGAGGGAGGTGTACCTGCAAGGTACTCCGATGCCAAAGTGGAAATGGGAACAATCAGAATGCAAGTATTATAGTAAGAGTGAATGAATGAATACCTGACTCTCTCAAGTGAGAGGATATTTATAGTCCCCAGCATTGGACCAAGGTCCCCGTGTTGGTCTGATTAAGCAGGCCCAAAATGGAGACTGTCGTGACCTATGTGTGCAGTGGAGACCAGCATGTGGTCTCCATCCTAAATGAACTGCTCTGAACTATCAGGGAGGTGTGGATGCGATCTTTTTAGAGTCAAGAAGACTCTGATATTCAGAGGCGTTAAGTGTCTATCCTATGAGGAGGGTGCTCGTGAGGACCTCCTGGGTGTCGCGGATCCTTCTCGACAGTCATGTGGCGAGGATGTCCTCGGAAGACATATCCTCGACATGAGTGGAATCACTGCCTAACATGATTCAAGGCATATTCACTCTTGTTGGTCTTCTCCTGCAACATAGTTGGATTTGAACCTTGTATGATGTTTGGCCCAAGTGCGGACTCTGTCCAGAATAATGATCATTGTTGATCATCGACAATAATGAAAGTGTTTGCTTCACCAACATATAACTTCAAAATGACAATAAAGTGACAATCATATCCTTATATCTAATCAATACAGTACTAAAGAATCAATCGAATTAGACATTGTCTATCGAAAATGATATGACATGCCACATTATCTTTGTTTCCGATTCTAGAATCACACTCCAAATTTTATAATTTAAAAGGTATTTTTACAAAATCAAAGTACTTCATCTTACCAAAAAAAAAATCAAAGCACTTCATAGAAGAACGAGGGAATGTGCAACCGATACACATTAATAAACAATGGTCTTTAAAGTAGACATGTATCTTGGTCTAATTCTTGGTACTTGCAACCGATACACATTAATGAACAATGGTCTTTAAAGTAGACATGTATCTTGGTCTAATTCTTGGTACTTCTCGTGTTTTCTCACAAGATAGTTCACGATATCAACCAACAAGCCCAACTAACATGAATGAGTTCGAGGCATCCCTGATCCTAAATATTAGGATCATGTCTAAACAATTGAGAAAACGGTACGAGGAGTGAGTGAAATGCTCCTGGCCAGACAATATAACTAGCATGAGTCATGACTCCAAGACAAATGCTGCATTTGTGTTTACTGTACATTACCTTGTTACATCTTATTACTAGGTCGCTGGTGTTTCACTGGCTTAAACTATGAGTAGTAGCTTTCAAGATTTTTGGATACATTGTTTATCTCTCCCTTTTTTCAAGCTAGTGGTGACTTACACTAAACACTTCACATTTGAAGATTTTGTAGGTAAAATTCATTGTTATTGCATTGCAACCCACCGTTGCAGTTTATTAATTCATATTACTCTTGTTTTACCAAATGAAAAACCATACATCCAAATCTTCTTTGCAAACATACAACTTTTCAATGTTCTACTCTATATAGCTTTCAGCTTTTTTCCATGTCTCAATAACTGAAAACAATTATGGACTGAGTAACAAAGTTCATCTAAAACTATAAATCCAATCTTGTCACAAGTCACAACAATCTACTGTTGGATTTGTTGCTTTCCAGTTAACAAAAGGAAACTAGTGAGCATTCTTCCTTGTCAAGACTTCTATGTCATGATGTCTAGTGATTATTCAATTAATCATGTTTCAGATATTACAAATCATGAACACAGTGCTCAAGCAGAAAAGAAAAAAGACTTTGTTAACACACCCTACTTATATGATATTTAACACAGAATAAATATGAAAACACGACTGTTAAGACTGCTCTTAACTCCAACTTTCTATGTTTTATATCACAAGATCGATGTAATTTCAATTCTCTACCTTTTAAAGGCCAATCTCAAACTCCAATGAGAAAAGGTGCATCAGATTACCATCAAAATTGAATGTTCAGCAACAATAAAAGTCACATAAACCACAACAAGCAACACCAATAATAATAACAAGGGATACATAATAATATATTAACCATAGTGTTTGTAAATCTTAATGTTGGCCATAGGCAAAATGGATTGACATGTCACGGCATCCCAATAACTACACTGGCTAGAAAATAAAAAGTGCTCAAAAGGCCAAAGAAAACAATTTACCGACTAATATAACACACTTATTTCTTCTTCTTAGTAGGTGGTTGAAGAGCCGCCACCTCTTCATCTTCATCCTCTTCATCTTCATCCTCGTCTTCATCATCCTCGTCGTCACCATCATCATCATCTTCATCCTCATCATCGTCATCGTCGTCACTTCCTCCTGCACCATTAGGCACAGGATCATCCTCAGGGTCGGCTTCATCGTCATCTTCATCACCAGAGAAGTCCTCATCGTCGTCATCGTCATCCTCGTCATTCACATCATCATCGTCATCGTCATCATCATCATCCTCTGTTTCACTTCCATCTTTGTTCTCTTCACAAGTATGGTTTCCCTTGTACAGCTGGTCTAAAGGAAACCTAATCAAGAATAAAAACAAGTCAGGACATTTGGATTTTCCAAACAAAAAACAATCATAAATCATTTGAATAGGGTTAACATGATTATTTATACCTTCCATCCATTGGTGATATCAAATTATTGACATCTGTAAGAAGAGATCCAGTCTGCAAGAAAAGGAAAAACAATATCATTCACTGAATGCAATGTAATTGTCATTGATTGTATAAAAGCAGAACATTTAGGTCATCCTAGTGAAAAGGTACACTAAGTTCAACCAATGCCTATCGAATACACTAAGCACGAGTGGACATACATAAACCGAGTTTCCTATTGCAGTTTGATTATCTGTGAGTGTACAACCTCAAGCAGAGATGCAAATAAACATTTCATAATAGAGTTTGTAACAGTTGCAACCCCAACTACAACTATCACACTTCACAGCAATAAGTAACAAGAGAAATAAAATACCAATTGAGCATAAAGAAAATCCTGTCTTTAAAGTCATAGAAACAAAACAAAAAAAAAGTAAAAGTTTACTAAACATAAAAAAGTAAAAGATTACTAACTGTTTGACAAACTGAAACTGCAAAACGAACATCGATGCGATTCAGACACAGAGCATGTAAAAAAGAACCCTATTCAAGAAAACAAACTCCTAAAGTTGGCCACAAATGTCTTCTTGGAATCCCTCTTAACAAATTGTATAGTAAATAATCGGTATCAACAAATTCAGACATACTGTTAGAGAGGGATACAACAGCAAATCAGTCATAGATAAAGTGTAAAAATACATCCAGGGTTGTCAATAGCAGATAGCAGAAAACATCAGTTATTTTCAAATCCGGCTACATGACAGTGCTACAATATTTTGTACCAAACAATTTAGTACCACTACAGCCATTATTTGACAACAGTAATGCATGCATCACAAAATTCAAAAACCATAAACCCTAGGATATGTATCACCTTGCGTTAACCCATTAAACAGAATACTAACTCATTCTCTTCAAATTTCACGAAAATAACATTACAAGAAAGCTACAAAAAGTGTGATTCCTGAGAGAGAAATACAAAACTGAAAATTGTGAGAGAAGAAGTATACCGCAACGAGAAGGTAAGCGAGGGATTTGCCGGTAGCAATGACGGTTTGAAGAACCAAAGCTTCGGCGACAGAGGAGAGAACCACGGCGTTGTTTGCGGAGGTGAGAAGTGGAAGCTCGATTGCCGACATAGTGTTGGTGTGAGCGTGTGCTGCTAGCGAGAGTTGGAGAGTGTGTGTGCGGGAAGTTGGGTTTGGTCCCGTTAGGGTTTTTATGATTCAAAATTGTGATGTTGCATAGCAAATTGTTTGCTTCCACGTCACTATATTCGGGTGTATAGTAGATTGTGTTTGTATTTTGAAACACATCTAAAAATCTTATTAGGACCTAAATGGGCCTGTTTCGTTATGCATAAGCCTTACTTCTTTACACTCACTACTTTTATTAACAAATACTCCTAATGTTTCTGAAACATGATTCAAACTCGTCTTCCTTTATTTTTAATTTTTTCTATTAAAATTATATTTAGATTTTGGAATTCCAACATGTAAAATTTTAAAAATATGTTTAAAGTCTATATATGAACGTGTAGATTTTAAGAAAACTGTGTAAATTTAAAATAAATAAAAAGAAACATGTTTTGAGTATAAAATTTGTGCATAACATTTTAAGTAAAAAAAAAACATAGAGCACACGAGAGGTTTGAAAGACAAAATAATTTGCATTTAACTTGGAAAGTAAAGTTTAATTTTTACTTGTATTTTGAAATTTGTATTCTTTTAAATTTATAAATCAAGATAAGTAAGGATTTCTATTAATCTCTTTAATTTATAAAATAAAATAAAAATTGAAGCGCTAATTACTATAGTTTTCAAGTCAATAAAATTTATAAATGTTCTCTTTTTTTTTTTAAAAGTGACACTAATCACATATTTATATATCAAAACTATGATAATAAAGGACTACATTTCTTTTGAGAAATAAAGAGGATTCGTACTTAATTTGGATAGATAAAAAAATTAAGCATTTAGATTAATAAATATAAAAATTATCATAATCACAAAGTTCACCGGATACACTAACATCACAATTTTGACCAATATATCTTCTTGGATTTTGTGAGGAACTACAAGAGATTTATCTACTAAGGCTAACGTCATGTTTAAGCTTTCTGATCTTCCTCGCAATCTTCTCATTGTATATAAGGGCATCAAATTGATGCTTTCCTCCAAATCACATGATTCTCCAAGAATAATAAGTTGCTCTATAGTGTATAATACATTGAAATTCTTTGTATCTGGTTGCTTGGATAGAAAGTTCCATATAACAATCACATACATCCCTCTAACAAGTTTACTAATTCATCTATCATTTGGGAATTTTCTTTTCTTTGTAAGGAGATTTTTAAGAATTTTGAAATAAGTTGGAATATGTTGAAGGGCTTCAAAAAATGGTATAGAGGCATGTAAGTATTTAAACAACGTTAATAACTTCTTGTATTGTCTCTCCTTTGATTCTTTCTTTTTTAAGGACGGTAGGGTAATGCCTTTGAGCATACAATTTTCCCCCTTTTTCTCCTATATTTTCCATAGTCTCTTATTCTCATTCATCTTCTTCCACTCTGCTCACCTTATGTTCTCTCTTTCTTCTCTCATTCACTTCCTAATTGAATTTCTACAGTCGATGATATTTTATAGGGTTTTAGCCTTAAAAGTTTTACAGGCCTTTTCTTCTGACATTTATAGAATTACAACGTTCATTCTTCTTGGGATTGTCAATTGCATTTCCTTCATAACTTTTGGATGATTTAGCATCTAATTGATTTGATAATTGTCTAATCTATGTTTCTAGATTTTTAAGGGATGCTTCTGAATTCTTGTTAGTAGTATTTTGAGCCAATTGCATGTTTAGGAGATTTTCTTGTGTAGACTTCACATATTGAGTGAGAGTTTCATTTTATTTTGAAATTTTCCTTATTTGAATAGATTGTTGATTGTGCTCTTAGAACTGTTGATCATTTTGATTCCTTTGTTGTTGTTTTAGATGAGGTGGTTGGGAATATTTTTGTGAGGATATTTGCTAATTTTGATATTGTTGCAATTGATTTATGTTGAAGTTGGTAATTGTGTTGTTGGAGTTTGTTTGAAGTCCCACATTACTTAGGTTCACGGGATGTTGAACATATAAATATGTGAGGGCAACCTCACCTTTTGAGCTAGCTTCTGGGGTTAAGATCCAAGCACATTTAACATGGTATCAGAGTCGGGTTAAAGACTACAATCTGAGCATTTGATCCAGACTTACGCTAGGCGTGAGGGTGGGTGTTGAAGTTGGTAATTATGTTATTGGAATTTGTTTTAAGTTCCATATTACTCAGGTTCCTGGGATGTCGAACATATAAATATGTGAGGGCAACCTCACCCTTTGAGATAGCTTTTGGATTTTTTTCTAACATTTAGTATTTATACTCTAGTGTAACCCTTGATTTTTAGTTTATGTTTATTCTATTGAAACCCTAAGCCAAAGGGTATTTCTCTTTTTCTATGTTTACATATGTTCACTATTGAAATGTAGATGATGTCAAGACGGAATTTCGGAAAAAAGAACGGGTCCGAAATGAGCAACGGGCTTCGAGTTATGAAATTTCTAGCATCCAAAAACTGCATCTTCAACATACTTTTTCCACTGTTTTTTCACTGAACGTCTTCAGAAGATCTTCATCTTCGGAGACTTTCCCTGGGGAATTTGCTCTCGACCCGAACATATGAAATGAAGTAAATATCAAGAAGATTCTTTTGATATATGAACCAAACCAAGTCGAAGTTAAGAATTTTTGAATATTCGCAAGACGGTGAATCAACAGTTAATTCAGTTTACCGTCTTCAAAAGATTAAAGTTCTTGGATGTCTTCATAGAATTAACCTTTGATTTAAGCATGAGAAATGATAAGGGAATCAAGATGTTCTCAATGCTCATATAATCAACTGAATATATTGAACTAGATGCAAATTATAAATTTCCGCATGCCGGGGAAACAAATAACCAATCAAAATTCTAATGTCGCTTCAGAGAAATTAAATTATTCAGAGACACTCTACATATATTTGACATCAGGCTTGAACATATGAAATGAAGAGAATACCAAGATGATTTTAATGCTTGAAGAATTAGCACAAGATAGTAACTCTTGTTGCAAGTTGTGAATTCTGAGTTTAAACCACTGAAATGCCGTTTCTGGTTCACAGCATCACACATTCGTCAAAACATCTGATTTCTTTGCAATAACTCTCGGAAATGAGTACCTTAATCTCATGGTCATTGATGCAAATGTCCTAATGGAAGGTATATAGATGAAATGAGAAGTGAAAAATGCATAAGCCAGATAAAAGTGAAAGGGTAGGACAAATTTGGGGTATTACAGAGGGTCCTGCAAAGTCAATACGTTCAGGATTCGTGAAAGTCGTCAGATCATCATATCTGGAAGGGATGCGCCATCCCAGTTGGTGCCTTAGGCCAATTATATGAGGATTCGCCATCACAATTGGCACCTCATTGGTAGATCAAATTTGTCTTGTTCGTCTCATCTACATGTTATTTATTCTTCTGCATGCACCTTATGTTATCACCACTCAAACAAATTCTCACATGCTCAAACACTCAAACACGCAAACATAATGTCCTTTGCAACACAATATGTTATCAGTGCACATTTTAATAGAGAGACGTACAATTGTGATGTCTCCAGTTTTTTATTTAGAAACACTGATAACATCTGATTTTGTTTAAACAGAAAAGCCAATTTTTTGTATTTCAAAAAACAAATGGAGCTTAAACTTGAACGAGGTTCAGTGTCACACATCTTCTACCAAAACCCAATTTTTTTATGAGAACCAAATAATATTTTATAAGGTAGAGGTTCAAGATGACGAGGACCTTCAAAATATGTTTTTTAGTCATGAGTATTCTGGGTACGACTCAATTGTGTTGTACATTATGATGCAGGAGCCTCAGTTGTCACAACCAACTCAATTACAAGTGGTTGGTCCCCTCGAAGACGAACAAGCAAAAGTAGATGTCTTTTACGAAGAAGAGGAAGATAAAGAGTTAGAGTTTGACAACATGGTCAACGACGATTCTGAAGACGATGCGCTACTTGAAATCCCTTCAATTGAAATTTACACACCACATTTACACATGAAAAACTTCAACATGGAGGAGATGAACCGTCATCAGATGTTTTTTAACCCGTATATGCAGTCGAAAATTTAAAAGAGAAAGACAAATTTCGTTCAAGAGAAGATTGTATGCGAGTTATAAAAAAGTTTCATATGTTAAGCTCTGTCAATTTTAAGGTAGATCGGGTACATCTAGAAAGGTACAAGCTCAAGTGTGTTCATCTAAATTGTATGTTTAGGCTCACTGCATCATACAGGTTGAGAAGTGATTATTGGGTAATAGGTTTTATATCCATCCACACGTGCATTAATTCTACTCGATTACAAGATCATCGCAAACTAAATTATGATCTAATATGTCAAGAAATCCTACCTCTCGTCAGCAATGATATGTCATTGAAGGTGAAAACCATAATCTCTCACATCACTACAGTATATAATTATACTCCGTCATACAGAAAGGCATGGTCAGCAAAGACCAAGGTGATTGAAAAGGTATATGAAAACTGGGAGGAGTCATATAAAAAACTACCACGCTACCTGCATGCACTTCAGACGTATGCTCCTGAAACTATTTATATTTTGGAAACATTATCGGCGTATGCCCCAGATGATACTTCTGTCAACGAAAATGGAATATTCAATTAAATGTTCTAGGCTTTTCAACCTTGTATCGCATGGTTTACGTCCTGCAAACCTATTATTCAGATAGATGTAACATGGTTGTATGGAAAATACAAAGGCACGCTACTAATGTTAGTTGCACAAAATGGAAACAAAAGCATTTTCCCAATTGCCTTTGCTCTAGTAGAGGGAAAGATTGGTGGTGCTTGGAGTTTCTTTCTCAAGAATCTTCGAACACACGTGGCTTTACAACTTGGTCTCTGCTTGATCTCCGACAAACATGCATCTATTGAGAATGCATACAATAATTATGCAAATGGTTGACATGACACTCCTTCTACGCATGTCTACAACATTAGACATATTGTACAAAATTTCACGAGGGAGATCAA